CCCTCTTGAAATTATAATTGTGACTAGCTGAATCATAGTTGTAAACCTTACCAAATTGCACCGTTCGCCCTCTTAAATACCAAATTTTTTCGGGCACTTCAACAGGCCCCTAACCCGTTGCCAAGTGGGGGGGGGGGCTTTGCATCCGCGGACTCCCCCCTTCAAATAATCCTGGATCCGCCTCTGCTCACCTTGCCTTATAATTGGTAGGCAAGCACTGGCAATTTCACTGGGAAATCCTGACAATGCAGTGACCTTTGGTAGTTTGGCTGACACGTACGTAAGAGCAGTTCAGAAGGCAGATTCTAACTATCAGCAGATTGACCTTGTGTTTGACAGATACAGGGAAGAAACAATAAAAGGTGCTACTCGGACACGATTCACAAAGTCAGTGCTACCCATCAGACAACACATCTGCTTTATCACATTCCCTGACCCTGAGAACATAGGTGTAGACACTTCATTTGTCATGTTTGCTTGCCTAGTTATAGAGATACAGAAGTAAAACGGTTTTTCAGTAATGGCGATCCTAATTTGCATATTTAGGGAAATTGCAAAAATCTAATTCTAACATAAACATCTTAATCAGGTTCCTCGACCCTGAAAATATAGGTAAAGACACTTCATTTGTCATATTCGCCTGTTTAGTTCCAGAGATATTGCAGAAAATTGGAAATCTGGCGGCCATTTTGGTTTTTTGCAAATTAGACTGTTAAAAACGCAAAATTTCGCATGGGAACCGGGTTAATCGGATTCAGCATCCCAAAATTATGCTAATAAGCCTGGTTCTCAACTTTTACCCCAAAATGCCCCTACTATTCATATTTTGTGGAAACCCCACTAGACTACTTCTCAGTTTCTATTTGGGTTTATTTTCAGTCTCTCTTTTACCCAGTTTAGTCTCTTTTGCCCAATTTGACAATAAGAACACACTAGTGTATTTCCAGCTATTTTCAAAGCTCAAAGGATCAAAAACCTATCAGGCCCTTAGCCAGCAATTTAAAAAGGGGGGTTCTTTTTCTGAAAAACTGGACCTTTTTCCATAAAAACTTCATGAACCTAGAACAAATTTTACTCAGAGTGGACCTTTTCCCACCAAAAGGGGCAGTTCTTTCGAACCCCCCTGGCTACAGGCCTGCAGGCTATTAACTGGCATTTTGATGTATTTTTTCTGCAGATCTCCGGTGAGTTGGGATGTGGATATCTCTGCTTTGGCAGCCGAAGAACTCGTTGTTGAAATCAAGAAAAACAAAGCGCCTACCACCAGACTGTCGCACAACTTTGTAAGTATTGCTGGCACACCGCGCTTACCCAGTCATTGGACATTATACAATCTTGAAGCAGACATGAGCTTTTTCCATGAAAAAGCCAAATTCGGTATTTATAAATTCAATTCCGATGGTTCCTGAGGTTTGTCAAGGTTAGTTGTTGGGTCCCATGATTAATGTTCAGAGTTTTTTTTTTTTTTTTTTTTTTTTTAACCTATGCTCATGTCTGTCGAAGTCCACTTTTAAATTGATTTGTTAAAAAAGATAGGTGGTTAACAATTTTTTTTGGAAAATTTAACGTTAGTTAGTTACAGAATAAGAGTTGATAAAACATACCTGAACTGATGAAACTCAATTTTTGAAAATTAAAATTTTCTCTTTTCAGGTGCGGAAAACTTTTTTCGTCCTTGCATTCTGTGATAGCTGTCGAAGAATTTTATTTCAGGGCTTTAGATGTCAAACATGTGGATACAAGTAAGAACTGTTAAACAGATAATCAAACTTGTAATATAATATTGATGTCAAACATGCGGATACAAGTAAGAACTGTTAAACAGATAATAAAAATTGAATTGTAATATGTAAGAATAGATCAAGAAAACTGAAAATATAAATGTAAAACTGAAAATGTCAGTATCAGATCCATTCCGTCGTCAGACCTAGCAGGAGCATAAATCTTATTGATTTGACTTATATATTTGTGCTGTATATTGTTCTATATTGTGTATTGTATAGTATAATTATGTCGTATATCATGTCAAGGTTTCACCAGCGCTGTGCAGACAGGGTGCCTGCTCTCTGTCAACAGGACACCAACGACGTCTTCTTGTCTGTCACCAAAGAGAAACCCTTCAGTGAAAAAGACATGTTAGAGCAATTTAAACAGTAAGTGGGATGGCTGGCATCTTAAAAAACAAATTTGTAAGCTTGAGGTTAACTCTCTCGGTCCAGCATTATTCTTGGTACAGATTATAGCAGTGTTGATTTACAGGATAACGTGGTAAAGTGTAAAGTATTTTTAATGATTTTCTCAGAGTAATATTTGCATAATTATATTGAAGTACTGGGATATTGTTCAACTTACGTAAAATGTATAAAGAAGTTATTTTTCTTTGTTTGTAACATATATTTCAGTGTATTTTGTATTTGCATAGCTATTATATACATATATATTTATTTATTTATTTAGTACTTGCCAATACTTTGCTTTGACCACTCGTAGATTTATTAGCACAGACTAGCAGCATGGTTTTATGGGATGGAAAAAGAACTAATAATACAGGAATTCTAACCCAACCCTTGTCATTTGAAATACTTCAGCACCATGTTTCTTGTCAGTTTTAAACTTGGGGGTTTTTAATACTGGGTTTAAACAGGTTTAACACTGGGTTTAAACTCAGTACTTTCCAGGTTTTACGTTGGATTTTACTTGTGGGTAAACTCTGTTTGTAACTAATACCACTGAGGTGAAATCCAACCAAGAATTTGACCCTACGGCTTGTTATTACTAATTCATAGTAGATATGATTTTTGCATAATGATCAAACTGTTTGTTTATATTCTAGGATATATCATAGAAGCTCTATGAGATCTCTAACCCCAACGTGGTACTTGTTGTTATAAAACTTACTCTCACAAACTTTACCTGCAACATTCTCTGCTGCAAAATGCTTTGTTTTCAACTCAGTAGACGTGGCATAACCTTCTTATATTTATGAAATGCAAATATAAATACTGCTGCTTTGCTAATAAAGTAGTTAGTTTAATCACAATATGAAGAGCTGACTGTTCTTTACACTATTCGGCTCAGTGATTGGCCAGACTGGTAGATCTTGGAAAACTACAGGACTTATTAAAAATTAAGTAGCCCAATGATGAAATCTGTCTGTAATGAAATGTTTATGTAAAACAACCACATAAATTGCCACCAGTCCATTTTGAAAAATTCAAATTTTTATCTGCTAGTCTGATGTCAGTTCTCTAATTTCTCAAATATCAAGTCTATAAACATAGCCGAAAGGTGTTATGTTGCAGGAAAGTTTGTAAAGAAAGGGAGTAAGAATTGAGGGGGTGCACTGGATGAAATAGCTTGTCAGCTGCAAGTCTGTTATCAAGTTCTCATCATACTAACAGTGCTTTGGACAATTAATACTTACTCTTCATTTATACTGTAAAAACAACTGTTCACTTTTGTTACAAGCACTATGAATACATAACAAAGTACACAACACTCATCAACCAGCACATCATGTTTTACAATACTCTCTCTCCAACTGCAACAGCCCTTCTCCTTCGACTTCATTTCATTCTCAAAATGGATACTCTGCTTATGGTGCGTAGTCATCTCTAACATTGCTTTGGTTTTAACAGCATCTCATCTAACATGGCTGACCCCCGGGTGTGCAAGCCACGAGAACCAAATCCTTGTCTACCCCTTTTATTTCAGTTTATTAGCCGACCCTAATGGTCAAAACGCTCCACAACTTTTGCCTCTGCCCAGCTCCCCTGTGAGTGTGCCGCGTTCCGGCAGAGCCCCGCCGCTGGAGCGCCGCGACCGTGCCAACTCGGCACCAAATGTGTCCTGTCATGTGAACATGGCGGACATCGGGCAAGAGGTAGGCCGAGATGAGAGGTCAGAGGTCACGATGCAGACAATGTGCATGGTTTCTTTTTTTTTCTGTATACCCCCATATTGTGTGTTGTTGTTGTTCCTGCCTGCAGCCACTGGCACCACTGCTGCTGTTGTTCCCCTCCCCTTACTACTGATGTGCATATGATGATGTATATTGTCCCCAGGGTACAGAAGGGTGGGTGTGGCACAGTGCTCCTGTGTGGGGGATGGGAGGAAACAAAACTGTTCTTACAGTGGGGATACACGTTGTTAGAGAGTTGCAAAAGGCTGTTTGGTTTCACATGTGATAAATCAAAACAGACCTGAGAATAAATTTATAAGCAACCTGCACAGTTCATCCTCTGGTAATTGTTTAATTTGACGTGATATATTCTCCAAAATGCTGTACACAGAATTTGAGATTTTTGTTTCAAACTGTCCAGATCTCTGTACTAGTGTACCAACTCCACTGTCAGAACTGTCAGAAAAAAAAAGTTTTCAAAGCATCTTACCTAGTGAAGATGGCCAAATTGAAAGCACAATATTGGACTCTCTTTGTTGAACCAATATAAAGACATTTCAAATACAAATAGATTGAATTGTCAGGAGAAAAAGTCCTGACTTTGGCCACCATCTTGAGTGTTTTGTTTCCTACCCTCGCCACCAGAGGTCGCTGTGAGTTGTCAAACAACACCAATGGTTCTGTACCACCACTAGCTCACTTCTCTCCACCGTTGCCATAGTTACAAGGCATGTTTACGTGTTTCTATAGTAACTTGGCCTCACCGCCTCAGGCAGTTCCTCAGAACCAAAATGGTCGAGCAATTGGCACAGAACGTTCCTCCTCAGCACCTAATGTATGCTTGCACGCTATTGGCTCAGATGTAGACGAGGTACGTACGTGAACGTCGAGGATTGCTATACAGTATTTGTTGGCTATAGTCACTGGAATCTAAGATGGTAGCTAAGCACTAGTTTCATGTGTTATCTAGTAGTCAAATGTGTGTTTCTCTCACATGTAGTCTCTCGTGCACAAATATGTCTGTTTGTGTTGTTTGATTAATGGTGAAAAGTAGTAAAAGTACCTTATTAGAAAATTGGTATTTTCATTTTGGACTCTTTATTTGTATTCGTGCTTAGCATATGTTGAAACCAAGGCTAATATTTGAAAGACCTGCTCAAGATAGGAAGAAAGGAAATAAACAATTTAAGGGATGGCAATGCTTTTGGTTGACAGATCAGGTTTAATAACTTATTGTAATGTCATTTTGTTTCAAGTTACTGATTTAGAAATTGGTCTTGCGAAAATTGAAAATTTGAAATTTTCAAGTGACAATTGTGAAGAAACACTTAAATTATCCCACTTAACTCTGATTTTTTTTTGTCCAAGATTTTTTTTACATGTTATCCCTATAAGTGGTACCATGAGTTGGCACTTGTGTTCTTCTCTACCATGTTGTAGTGTATATATTATTTCCCGATTCACTTTTTATACTGAATGGCCATATGAAATTGGAACTGTTTATTGTACCTTTTCCACTTTTATATGTTGAATGTCAGAAATCAATAATTTTTTAATCATTTTGTCATTGAGAGAGAACTTGGCCCAGCACCAAGCTGCAGGTTAGATATTGGATAGAATCCAGAAACTGAAAAGCGCAAGATGTCAATCTTAATCATTTGTGCATTGTCTTCAGTGACATAGATTTTAATCAGATTTTTTGTAGTTTTTCTTTCATGAATTTTTTTAAAATATATTTTGTGCAAAATTTTACATTGGCTGAATGACAATGCAGAGTATTTTTATGTTTGATTTTGAGATTTCTTTCACATGTGGAAAAGGTTGTTAATGTCAAGTTGAGTCCACAGATACAACCGCAGATACAAGATTTACCTAACTGCAAATGATTACAGTTAGAGCCTAAATAAGCATTTGGAAAAGTAGCTCTTCTGTTTGATAGGTAAAACAACTGTAATAGAATGCAACTCTTAGCTGACTTTCAATATGAGAAGCAAAGATGGCAGTTGATAAGGAGACTAACAAACGTAAATCCCTGACAGTGTATTCACTTTTCTTCAAAATCATTCACAGTAGTGTTATTTGCAGACTCTCAGCTGGCCTTATAATATCATCAGCTTATCCAGATCTTTTCAAAGTATATGTTATTTTAATTATCATATTTGTACTATCATTGTGAACCTTTTATTATTTTTTTATTACTGCAATTTTTTCTTTCTTTTCTGTTTTTGATGGCCAGACGTCTGTGTATTAACAGGCTTTGCTCACTAGCTGTAATATTAGAACTGTCACCTGATCTGAGTTTTTATTACACAGTGACGTAGAGAAATTGGAGGAAGTGGAAAGCATGCAGCACATTGCTCTATTTATATTGTGCCTAAATGTCATATAATATGTAGACATAGCCATTTCAGCATATTGTCAGAGTCTAGCTGTGCTTCACCATTTTTCTAATGTGCAAACTAAGAGGAGTAATTTTTGCTTAGAAAAAAAACTTACTTATAGGTCAAATGGGTCAGACAGCCTGGTTCATTTGTGATGTCATGATTGTCTTTTTTGTAATCTTAACATTATCAAATTCCTGATTTTTGGACTTGTTTTCGTAATGCGTTGTGGAAACTCTTTAGATATGCTGATGTAAGTGTTCTATAGCGTCAAATCTATTTGAAATATGATAAGTTATTTTACATCATGTGAGTAATATTTAGACTATTGCAGCAATAATTAATCTCAGAATAAGGAATACTTTGGATTATAAACTTTAGGATTAAAGCCATTCTATCAGTTTATTAACTTTTCTTCTTTTTTTCTTCAGGAATATGTTAGAAGAATAATTTCTGGTGCTCCAGGTAAGGGTTCAATTATTAAATTGATAACATTGATGTCACACTTGAATTTGTTGTTGTTGTTGATTTGCTTCTTTTAAGTCTGCCATTAGGAGTATTATGTGTAATTTTTAACTTGACGCTGTTGATCGCGTGTGGTATAAAATTTATTTATGATGACATGCGTGTGGTGTTTTATTGCACAGCTAAATATTGTGATGATTTGTTGGACCGCCACTTTATATAGCCTTGTAAAGTATTTATTGCACAGTGTTATGAGTTGTGAAATAATCATTAACAAAGTACGAAGAGGGAGAGATCTTTTTGGGAATTCGGTAGAGTTGAAGTTGGGGTGTGCTAATGTTATTGTGGAAGCCGAGAAATTTTAAAATTTCTTCATGCCATGGTCCATTTGATAGAATTGATTGTTTTTCTGAAAGAAAAAAGAAAGAAAAAAAAATCAAAGGGAAATTATCATTGGAATGTGTCAGAGGGAAAAATTATTGAGGAGTGACCAAGTACACAAATTTATACAGCTTTTTATTTCCGACATTTTGTTTTTATTTGTCTTATTTGTCACAATTATGTAACAACCCATAGCCCTGAGCTACCTTTCCCTTTACATAGTGATGACCAATGAATGTAACTGTTTGCTTCTTTCTTTGTTTCTTTTTATTATTATTATTTTTTTTTACATTTATTTTATGATTAGCAGTAGCATATGTTGTATTCTTATCATTTTCAGACCCTTTTCCAAGACCTAATTTTAAAGATAAAAACCGTCACGCCAGTGACAGTAGCGCTCCAGCCCGTCCCAGTAGACATTTTCAGTATGCTACAATATCTCGAGGTACAGCAGGCAGTTGGGTGGACTGTTTTGCTTGCTTTATCTGACTAGAATCCTAAACCCACTAATCATTAAAAACTGTTATTAATACCAACAAACAATTTGACCTTTAATGAACAACTAAAATTTTTTGGTTACATGTTCAAAATAAACTTTTGTTTAGTATTTTTTATTTTGTTTTATTTATTTATTTTTTTATTTTTTGATCATTTTAATGCAAAAAAACTGAAATTTCAGTTTTTTTATTTCTGTTACCATTGTGTTGTGTATATTGTCTGCTAAAATGTAAATTTTTATCACTTCAGTTTTGAATTAGGTATAAACCAAAAATATGGTCTTTGAAAAAGTCCAGCCTTTCTTTTTATTTTTGAAAGAATTGTTTATTTTGAACTTGCACCAACTTTTGCAACAAAAAATGATAAAAAACAAAGAGGTGCATTCAGACACAGAATGATGTATACTTACCACCATGTAAAACATTTTCTCCAGACTATTTTATAATATACCAGTTGATAATTATCCTCTTCCTTGTGAAATATTCCTGTAGACCAACAAAAAAAAAAAAAAAAAAAAAAAAGATATCAGTCTGTGTCTGATCTGCACAAAGTGATGGTGGCTTGCATTGACCTAACTGAAATGAAAGAAAAATGATGATTCTTAGTAAACCACTGTAGATTGCTTTTATGGGTGTTGCTTGGAATAACATTGCAGTAATGATTATTATAATATTAATGATTATGATTGGCATGTTAAAGGGTGCCCACAGGCATTTTCCTAACCTTCCCTTTTCCAATAATATCATGTCACAGCAGGTACAGACATTTTACACCTGATACAATCATCACATCTAACACAATCAAGTGTCACATCCAACACAATCAAGTGTCACACCCAGTGTGAAAAGGTCTAAAGTGATATGACACACTGGTGATATGAAAGCTAAACTTGGTGTCTGTTTATCAGTGGCCAGTCTCTAGCCAGCTTGAGACACTTATCACAATACCCATAGATACTTCTCTGGACTGTGCTTAATTAAAAAAAAATGTTCTCTCTGATTTGTTTTATATCTAAAACTGTCAAATTTTCTTTTTAGGTGTTTGTAAGTATCATCTTTGAAGTGAAATTGCATTCAGATCTCAAACTTTAAACCTCTCCTATTTAAAAACATGGTTAAGTGTGTAAATGGTTTGAAACAAGATTTTACCCCCACCCCTCCCTAAAGTCTTCTAGGACCTGTATTAAACCAGCAGTGCTAGGCAGTAGACATACAGGGTTGCCAGCATTCATTATTCTGTATTTTTGTTCACAGTATTGAATACATGCTCTATTTGTTGTCATGTATTATATGGCTTATAATGAAAACAAGACATCTCAATGATGTAGTTCATATTTTGAAAAGTATAATTGCTGACAGCCCTGGATGCCATTTTACTATCATCTGAAGCTAGCCAATAAACCAGAAAAATACTAAATATTATTCTATCAATCCAGTAAAACTTACATCAGTATACTAGATTGATTTACTGCCCATATATATATATATATATATGCTTCAATTATAACAGAGAAGTAGATTAGACCGTGCTTTGAACAGATCTTCTACAAGTTATTACTTGAGTGAAGCAGTGAATAATTGGAGCTATCCCAGCAAGCACTGCGGTCATTACATTGGGCAGGTGAAACAAATAAACAAAAATGCTATTTCTTGAACCATTTTTGTCAGAAATCTGAGTGGTTATTTAGCTAGAAAGCCAAGTATTTGACTACTTTTGGCCTGTTGATTATTCATCTAAAGACCCAATCCCAAAGTGTTTGCAGAGATGCCTGATAATTAAAGAAGTTCGATAACTGCTGCTGAAGTGCTGTTCTGAACCTAGTGGTATGCATGAAAGAGGTCCCTAATATATCAGATAATTTGAGAGTTGAGATTCCTACTTGTGTATATTTACAGTTTTTATCAAGTCCTGAACATAAATCCAAAACCAAATTAATAAAAGAAAAAAACTAGTCAAAAGGAATTTTAATACCATTCTGTTTATGATTTCATTAAATTTTTTCATTTTCCCAAAGCAACAAATTGTGCTTGAATTTTTCCTAAAGCTATATTTCATGCCTGCCAGTCATGGCAACATACTGCATTAAATAAAACATCACCAGATTTATCCCATAAGACCTGTGATCACAGGTCTTGGAGATTAATAATTAATACCTTTTTCCTTCCTCCCCCCTCCACAGCCCAGGGGTTGACTGTCCCTGCTGGCATGACCCCCCAGAGTCCGGCCAGTAGTCCTACCAAATCACAGAGTACCAACACCTCCCCGACCAACACCAAGCCATGGAGGCACAGGTCAGGCTCCGACCAGTCAGAGCTGGGAAAGAAACTGGTGAGTAAAGAAAAGTTTTGGCTAAGCTGGTGAGAAATGGAGAGTTTTGGCTAAGATGGTGAGTGATGGAGCGTTTTGGCTAAAATGGTGAGTGATGGAGAGTTTTGGCTAAGATGGTGAGTGATGGAGAGTTTTGGCTAAGCTGGTGAGAAATGGAGAGTTTTGGCTGAGCTGGTGAGTGATGGAGAGTTTTGGCTAAACTGGTGAGTAATGGAGAGTTTTGGCTAAGATGTGAGTGATGGAGAGTTTTGGCTAAGATGTGAGTGATGGAGAGTTTTGGCTAAGATGTGAGTGATGGAGAGTTTTGGCTAAGATGGTGAGTCAGAAAGACTTCTGGCTCAGCTGGTGAGTCTCAAAGAGTTTTGGCTCATCTGGTGAGTCGGAAAGTTTTGGCTACCTGTCATGTATGCACATGGAAGCAATGGGCCAGTTGCATGTCTGAACCATGCTCTCATAATCGCTGGCATTCTGGATTATGGAGGTGCTGCCTCCTGGCTGGTATTCCAGATTAAATTCTTGAAACAAATTTCAAAATAAAATATGGATGCCTGTATACTATGTGAAGTTCATACTGAGGACAGTTATGTGACACTCAGAGTCAGATATGTGAAAATCATTTTATATAAAAGTTTTCACCAAGATCTTTTAATCTTTTAATAGCGACGAAGGCGAGACTCAAATGAAGACTGGGAAATCCCAATGGACGAGATTGAGTATCATACGCGGATAGGGTCTGGATCATATGGGACTGTATTCAAAGGATTCTGGCATGGGCCGATTGCAATCAAGAAGTTGAATGTGGTGGAGCCTACACCTGCCCAGATGCAAGCATTTAAGAATGAAGTGGCAGTTCTCAGGTAGAATTCAGTGTCCTTAGGGGCCATTCACAGTGAATTTATGGACCTACTGTGTACAAACAACATGGGGACTCCTGCTGAATGCAAGTCTTTAAATCTGATTGCAATCAGTGAGAGTCCCCATTGAGTTGGTGCACAGTAGCTAGTTTGATAAATTCTTCGTGAATAGTCCTTTGGAATGAATGCACTTGTCAAAGACATGTTATACATAGTCTACCATAGCAATTGAAAGAAAAATGAATTCATGCTAGTAAACTGTTAGAATTAGCATTGATGTCCAGAGCTTAGAACCCTGAAATAATCCATTTTCATATTCAGTATTCTTCCTCACCTCCTGCTTTCACCATATTAATCTGTAAGGCAAATAGAAATAATTTTCTCTCTATATGGCCAATATGAGAGTATTACTAAAATGTTATTTCTCTTTTTCTTTTTTCCAGAAAAACTCGGCATGTGAACATCCTCCTGTTCATGGGTTGTGTATCCAAGCCTGAGCTGGCCATAGTTACACAGTGGTGTGAGGGTTCTAGCTTGTACAAACATCTCCATGTGTTAGAGTCCAAGTTTGATATGATACAGCTTATTGACATAGCAAGACAGACAGCACAGGGCATGGAGTAAGGACTTTGTGAAATAATAATGTCTATTTCAATATCTTAAAACTAACAATATATTACATTGATAGGAATAAAGATTTTAAGAAATATTATGATATATGTAAGTATACAAAAGCTAAGGGAGAATGACTAAAACACTGTTGAATCATTATTACACTTTCAATAATGTCCAGTAGTTTGTTGAAAAGAAGAAAAAATAGAATAAATGTTGCCAGACATTGTGAACTGTCTCACCAGCAAAAAGTTCTATCAATAGCCCATTCAGTTGAAAAAATGTTAAAACTATGAACGAACTACAAGAGGTACTTGTTAAATAACTATTATTTATACAAGTCAAAGTAGTTTCATTGTTTTATGTTGAAATTATCATCGCATTAAAAAATATCAGACTTAATATCTGAAAAAGATAGCGTAGCATCATTTTTAATTACCAAGTTTTTTCTTGTTTCAGTTATCTTCACGCCAAGTTTATCATCCATCGTGATCTGAAAACTAACAGTATCCTTGTATTATATGGTGTCAAAGACATTAAGGTTTTAAAAATATTGAAAGTTCAAATTTTTTTTAATTTCTCTTATGGTTCATAATATATGCTCTTTAAGGGAAATAGTTCAGAATCATTCCCAAGAAATATGTTAAGGTCTGATTTAACAAAATAGATTTCAGTTGAGTTTTTGGATGTGTTTTCTCAGTGATCCAGTCTGTCATCAGTTAATCTTTTGTTGAAAATTTATTTTATGTGCAGAAACACATTTAGAGTTTGAGATTTATAATGTTGGCACGTGAAATAAATTACATTAAAAAATACTTTTTATGTAAAGGTACAAACAACTGACTGGCCGTTGAATAACTTGCCTGACTGTATTATTGTAAATGGTGCAATGAATAGAACGTAACATCCTTAACAAAAATTACCAGATATATTTTTACACGATGATTTAACGGTAAAAATAGGAGATTTTGGCCTGGCCACAGTGAAGACGAGGTGGAGCGGGTCTCACCAGTTCCAGCAGCCCACAGGCTCCATATTGTGGATGGTAAGGAATTGTGGTTGTCATCCCTTTTATCTGCCTAATCCAGCTGGTAGTACATGCCCAGGAGGTGGTATTGCCTCTCTGATCCTCTAGTTTTCAATTGTCTTACTTTCAGACAAGTGCTGCTCTCTGACTATAATCCTGATCTGAAAACCTGTGTACTTGTTTGCAAAGGTAGATTTTAAAATCTTGAGGAATGCCCCTGATGTCAGTTAACTGTTGGTATAAAACAACACACCCAACAGATCCATTGTCTAACATGGAATAACATCTATCAGCAATGGGAGTCTGTCCTAAAAAAAAATTTATGAAATGTGTGTCAAGATGGCAACGCTGCAGGCTGTACTTTCCACACCAGGTTCAGCACTGTGTAACTATTTCATTGCAGGCGCCAGAAGTTATCCGCATGAAAGAAGAAAACCCGTACACATTTAACTCTGATGTGTATGCCTTTGGCATTGTCTCCTATGAGCTGATCACTGGACAGCTGCCATACCAGAATATAAGTAATAAAGACCAGGTGAGAGAGAGAGAGACCAAGTTCTCATTCCTTCGAACTAGTTTATTGCATAAGATGACAAAAGGAATCTATTACAAGACTTCAGAAGTTGTATGTGTAAGATAATACACTGTCACCTGAATGATATACGTTAGAACACCTAGAAAGTCAGTGAGGGGTGTTCAGGACATATATAGCAAGAGGGCTGGCAGTGTATTATTTGAAATGCATAATGAAAGTACTCGTATTTCATTGAAAAATATGCCTAAAACTGCATAAAGCATATTGCGCCATAGTTACATATCTTTAGATATATCTACCACAAGGTTGATACTATGTGTGTGTTGTTTTCAGATCTTGTTCATGGTGGGGAAGGGTTACCTGAAGCCAGACATGAGCAAGGTGAGGACAGGTACCCCCAAGGCTTTCAAGAGACTGATGGAGGACTGTTGTAAGTTCATCAGAGATGAGAGGCCATTGTTTCCACAGGTAGGGAAGTTGCCAGTTCTTACATAAGAAGTGGGTTTCTCTTTCACTTGAACAGTTGTGAAAGTTAGATACTGTTTTATCTGATTACTTACTGTGATTTATATGTATTTATTGTGATTTAAATGTTGAGTAAATCTTTGTAGCTCCAAGGAGCCGTGAGCCCAATGTTGTGCATTCTGTACTCCTCAAACATTCAGCAAATGAAAGCTCACACTAAAACAGGCATATACTTGTGTTTTTCTCTGCAGATACCACCATCTTTATAATATCTTGTTTTAAACATGTCCAAAGTAAAGATGTATTATAAACATTTCATCAAGGTGAAGGCTTATCACATGTGACACTGGTGACAACTTAAAATCAGTTCACCTGAAGAAGGCCTTGAGATAAGGTCAAAATGTCGTGATTTTCATTTCAACATAAGATCTAGTATTACATTTTATTAATTTTCTGGTAGAATAAATTTTTTCATCATCTTATTAAAAACATACTCCTTTGTTTTTTTCCGCAGATATTAGCATCTTTGGAATCTCTTGTTCGCAACATGCCCAAACTCCACCGCAGCCAATCAGAACCCACTTTGAACAGGACCCACCTCCAGTCCGACGATTTCGACATCATATATCAGTGTGCATCGCCTAAGACCCCCATAGGGCAGTATGGTGCATTCAATTTCTTCAACAGCTCCAATATGACTGCCTACTAGGAAGTTGTGTAGTAATATCAGTCATGGTCTGGACTGTGATGAGGTGGGATGTGAACAGTCTGTGATGTCTTCATCCGCTCACAAAGAAGGCAAGGAGGAATTCACAGATTGATTTTATGTGCTTTGATGATCTTGGTATTAAAATGAGTGGCTGGAATGGTCTGGTACATGTATTCCTATATAAATGTGTGCCAGTAAAGCCGTTATATTTTAAACTGCAATAAGGAGCCAAGGCCTGTTGAGAATGGTGGCACCAAAACGCCCCGTTGAGAGAAATGAGTCAGCCTCAGTATTCAACACTCTGCACTGGTTGAACTGTCCAGCTGTAAGAACACAAAATGAATTGGATTTTCTAGTACACATTATACTGCATGTGTTGATATATCAGGCAGTGAAGATGCCTGACAAACTGGAAGTGCTAGTACTCCACACCCTTGACAACTTGGAAAGGCACGAAGTAAGCCCATTGGACAAGTTGGAAAAGCTTGTATTCAACTGATCATGAGATAAAATTGAATTGGCTTGTAGTCAATTTAGTCAAATTGGAAAGGCTAGTAAGTTGATGCATTGGACAAGGTAGATAGGCCAGCAGTGGTCTAAATTATGTCAGAAAAATTGTCAGCACGGACAATGTTAATCATGACAAAGAGCAAAGACGTCTATAAGGCAATCATGTCAGACATTTTACATTTTGAATGTGAACTTTTACTTCTCACAAAAAAGGATGCCATACTTGTACAATGGTAGAATATTCTATATGTATATGTATTATGTTCTATTTAGGGTGTTACCTTACCAGTGGTCTATATGATGATAATATTGATGTAAAAATGTACGTAACACTCATTACTGTACATAGAATGTACAAATGTATGTATGATATTTATGCACTTAATTCTGATGTCAGAATTCTCTTGCAAAAAAAGTCTTTTGAGAAAGTAAAATCAGTGTGCCCAGAGAAAGCTTTAAGCCAATTAAACACAGTTGCATTGGATCCGCTGTGTGGTTTGAATATATTTGAAGAAATATGTAGATCCTTTTTCATGAATTTAGCAAAGTAAATGGAAGAATCTGGCACTTAAAAAAATGAAATTGTTTAAGAAAGAGAAGATTCTATTGAGAACACCTCTCAATGCTGCAGTTGTTGCTGTTCAACTGTTTTAAACAGCCAATACCAGTGTAAGAATTTTAATTGGGAATGTAGAGAAAAATCCATATTTGTCTTGTGAAGTTTTAGATTTTTTATATTTATTTATGAGATGTATTACAAAACTGATTATGTGGAGTGTCAACCTGCTCTTTAATTTATTTACTTTTTGCTAAAATATACATATATCAACAAGTCATTGAAAAACTGGTTAAAAAATAATCAAAAACAGGTGTCATTTTTCATACCAAGAAAAAAATGCTATTCTTTCATAGGTCTGGATCCACTCCAATAAAAGAGCAGGTGCCCCCCCCTCCCCTCCCTCCTCCCCCTGTAAACCCCATATCTTCTCTGTGCTCTTTTCTAGCAGGAGTAATTGTCTTGATGTGTGCAGCACCTGTAGATGTATTTATTGTGTCCTCAATATCCAGAACTTTGTATATCTCTGCAGACTCACATGCAGCTTTTGTTTTTAGACATTGAAGGAAGTTTCATTTGACATGATATTAGGCAGTTGAAGAACTACACATTTGGGCAGTAGTTGAAGTTAAAACTGCAGAGAGCAAACAGACATAATGATTGAATGAACTATTTCCCTGTTCAGTTTTCAGCGGCAAGGGAAAATATTTTTTGTTGTGACGTGGCATCTTTCTATGGATGCAGCTGATGTCACTGTGAAAATGGGCATTCAGATTTAGTGTTAATAAAATTTGTCAACTTACCTCGGTGTGTTTTGTTGGTTATTATTTCTGACTTATTTCATTGAAATTATACCTTTACCTCTGTCGGGTTGTGCCAAACATCAGAGAGTTATGTGCATATTTTGATAACTTTCTCTAGATGTGTCAGAAACCTATCTTTAACACTTAAAAACATTACAATAACTTGCTGGTGGTTCCCACTGGGAGCTGAGTCTCCCCACCACTCAAGCCAACCCTGTCCTCCTCCAGTAGTTAATGAAAATCATCTCTGAACATAAATATTTGTGTGTAGAGATGAGTCTTTCAGGTTTATCCAAATATTAGGGTATTGTCCCTATGCCCCTTACCCTCCTCCCTCCAGAGAGAGCTGTGTGCCTATGGCACTTGGGTTTTTCCACTTTATTTTTCCACTAAGGTCCACTTTTATCTGTGCAAGTCATGTGTAATGGAGACATTGAAATAAGGTATAGATAAAGTACGAGGCGCTGAGCTTTACGAGAAATAGAGCAGATAATTGGTGAGGCGAAGCCGAGACAATTATCTGCTCTATTTCTCGTAAAGCTCAGCGCTGAGTGCTTTATGTGGCTTAAAGCACAATAAATTAACCCTGTGCACTGGTGCGTGGAACGCATTTGTGAATGACGTGACTTTACACAAAATAAAGCACGGCCCGACCTATTGTTTTTTGACAGGAGAGTGCTTTAAGTAATGAATCAACTGAACAGCACAGTGCAGCCAGTTTATTTAACTGTTCTTACAAATAACAAACTGTTGCATGTCCTTTACTTAATTCAGGTGCATCGAAATGAACAGTGCCCACTGAATAAGATTTTTTGTTAATAAAATTAAAGAATTTTGAAATGTATGAAAAAGGTAATTCACTTTTGATTATAAGCTATTTACATGAGGCAGAAAGTAGCAACCTTTTTGATATAATTATATGTCTTTTTATAGCTACCAATATTTAATGTGGATATGTATTATAATAAAACATTGATGTAAATGTAATCAATGAAGCCCTAATGTTTGAAACCTTGATACTTTGCAGTGCGTGTCTGTTAACAGCCTATTTGGTCATACACAGTAGTAGAGAACAGTGAAAGCACCTGTCTGAGAAATGATACATTAATTTCATTTTAAACTAGAACAGGAGATAGTAAATACTGCAATTTCAATACATTTATACAATATTTATACTGTACACAACATATATACATACTATTAGGTATGTAGAATGCAAAACCAAACAGGAAACATGGAGACACGGTATAAAAAGCACCTTTTTGATAAATGAACGCAGAAGCAAGCTGACAGATCAAATGGCAAAGAGAGCAGCCGGAAATAACAGTCTGCAAAGCGTTGCCAATCAACGACAATAATGTAAGAAATGTTCAACATTTCAATATTTTATAGGCCAGTAAGTACCTAATCTTTTAATTGTCAGGGGATGAAGTTCTTGTTGCTGCTATGTGTGTGTTATCTTCATCAGACACTGTTCAGTTATTACCATTAAATAAGTATCATCTCTGTTAGACCTGCTCCTTTTATTTTGCTGCAAGTGGCCCTGTTATCTTCACTGTCCAATACAGGCTTCTGACATTATTTATTTTTATATCTGTTTCTCTAAAATTGCTGCCCACAAGCCCTGTGAGAGTTAAAGCAATGGATGAGATTCTCAAAAATGGCCACCCACAAGACCTGACCTTGACCTGACTGGAGGTGCCACCTGCTGACCTGACATGGAATTCTGGTCGTCTGACTCCAGAACCTCCATCACCTGGAGAATGGTCACATTTTGACTTGTGGTGAAATCTGTGTACGCCTGGCTCCCCGAACTGTCGCGGCTGTTATTTAGATCATGTGACCCAGCAACAGCGTCCCATTCAGAAATAGACAGACTCTGATTAGTGTTGCCTGGTAACGGGGGAGCCTCGACCCTCACGTCCGGCACAGGGTGAGGGTCTCCATTTGATGGGATATTGTAGTTGAAGACATTTTTTACATGTTCGTGGAAACTACTCCGGCTCGACTTTCCAGGACTGAGTGGTTCGTACTTTGCAGGGTCACTGCTCAGTCCCTTTTCTGGCTGATCCATGTTAAGACGGATTGTCTGAGACATGTACTTTTTAACCCTTTTCTGCTCCTCAGTACCTCCCCTTGGTGCTGTATTGGCTGTGCTGCCCCCTGGTGTTGAGCTACCTGTGCTGCCCCCTGGTATCATGTTACTTTCAACATCACTGTCCCCATCATGAATGGTCATAGTTGCCACCTGTAGTTCCTGTTCTTTGCCAATGACATCTTGCCACCGCCTGACACCATCATTGTTTGACACATCCTGTGATGTAAGGTTGTTAGCAACATTCATGACTCCCTGGTGTCTCCTAGCAACACCGTTACCATGGTGACCTAATTGAGGGGATGTGATACTGGTCTCTTCAAAGCTCATGGACATTTCCATTTCCTCTTGAGATGCGGCACCATCTGCCTGGTTGCCTGGATACTGGAGCTGTCGCCTAGCAACTAGAGGTGTTGGCATGTCAGTTGGCACAGGAGTGGAGGCAATCACAGGTGGTGTTCTCTCAAGATGTTGTTCATAACTGAAACATAGCAACATCTGTCTTTTAAACCTAGCAAAAATGTTTTGCTGACTCAGCATTTTTAAAATGTATTTAACATAGCTGTTCTTGTTTATTTAGAAAATGCACAGATATGACATAACAAATGTTGAATCTACACATGGGTGTCTTTATGGACAGAAACACCTGAATCCTACTTGATGTCATCTGGACTAAAACCAGTTAAGGTCCAATTTCTTGTGACTGATGCAAGTTTAATGAATTCATAATCCTTTTTTATATCTTTACTCATTTATTATATTGCCCCAATTGTTATATTGCATTGCATTCCATAATTACCGTCGTATTTCTTCAGGTCGTGACAGGTGGGTTGGAGAGTAGTCTGTGACAGTGGGCTGACTTACAGGATCTGGAATATATGAAAATAAATCACAATGTTATGAATAAAATCCTTTGCTTTGTCACCTCTACTTTTTCTTATTAATAGTTTCAGTTCCATTGGTTATTAGGACCAGTAGTGCCAGGTCTCTTAACTGTTGAAATACATTTTCTTGACAAGAAGATATAAATATAGTGCCTCTCTAAACTGTTGAAATCTCATTAATGATGGACTGGCACATTTTAAATACTTTAATATTGGTCAGTTCAAATGACTGAACACCAAATGAAGCTTTTCTAATACATTTTCTTGACAAGTAGATAAAAAAAATGATGACGTATAATAAAAGTTTATGTAAAGAGCTTAGCTGAGATGAAAAATAATCCTAGTAATAATGACAATTTAAATTATGTTCAAAACTGAATGGTGTGGTATTAGCAAATAAATTGCATGGCCTAAACAGACAAACCCTTGCACATCCTTTAAATAGATAACAACTCATTTAAAAAAGGGTGAATTGATATACCGTGTGTGTCTGTCATGTGATTATCTTCTCCATGTTGTTGATGGGGCTCACTGTTTAGCCTTTCAGGTTCCTCCCTAGATGGAGCCACTGCTGACTCTCCTGTTGAAAAAAAGGAGAAAAGCATTTGTTTAATTATTTATATCACATTTAACATAACAGCCCAATTGTTCACTTTTTGTCTGGATCAAAAATATACTTTACAGGGTCTTCTGTGAACTTTAAGCATTCTTAGAAGGAAATTGAGCCTGAAACAATTAGATATCAAAGTTCTGCATACTGTAGCAGACATACATGTACATACAGTATAATATCTATAACTAATTATTCATATATAATGTATCTAATTTCAGTGAAATGTCTATGGATTGATCAGTATTGCTGTTTATGATCAATATCAGAAAAGACTGACAATGAAATTTACATCTAACAAAATTAAACTCAAACATAGCTAATACCAATAACTTATAGTCAATTATTAAAATCAAATAAATAAGACTGGATATATGTCAATTATTTTGGCTGCACAAAAATTTATCACATGCCCTAGTTTGTACATTTAATTTATTGCATTTCATGCATGCGCTGATTGTTATTTGGTATCAGATTATCCAAAAGAATAGTAGAGGGCACTGCATATCAAAATCCACCAATCAGCACTTCCAATTCCAACTTTCAAACCTTTCTCGGTAAAACCATGCAGAAATTTGTCCTAAAAAGTAAGAAATCCCCCTTCAGGAAAAAACTCCCAATCCTCAGTTCATGCAAATGTTTTTGCCAAAACATTAGAGATATTTTTTAAAGTTATTATCTTCATTTTAGTTTTTGTACACTGCCAACTTCTTAAACATGTTCAATGGGGTGATATTGTATCAATTTATGATATACTATAAATTTTCAAAGCACATGCAAAAACATCAACCATCAAGTCAAGCCATGCAGACACTGATTGGGGGGGGGGGGGGGGAGGGGGGGGGGGGGCTCAGGAGATAGGGTAGCTAAGAACAGTATACATCTCATTGTTAAAGTTCTTAAAAATTTAAAAAAAATCTTTCATCAAATTTTTCATTCAAAAATTGTCTGAAAAGAGATTTAATATATTAAGATTTGGGTGGCAAGGGAGGGGGGGGAGGGCTACCTTTAACTCCACACACGCCATGCACAATGCCACCACACATATCAGATTTACACTGGTTTTCCAAGGACTGACTGACGCTCAATTCTGCCGTGTGCTATCAATTTAGTACAGGAAATGCTCATGCACTTGTCCATATATGTTGAACTGTTCAACAAAATTCCTGAATCGCACTGAAAATCAATAAACAGCAGCATCCAGATTACTTTACTTCTTCACTCAATTACTTTCTTCTTGCTACGTGATTGGGAATCATTGTGCTTAGCTGAAATGAAGCATGTTTTGTAACTCTATCTCAAAGTACACATTAAAGAGGGCAAAATTGTTTTGAAAAGTAATCTGGTGATCTTTAGAAAACTGTCATAAAAGCGATATATATTGATCACTATAACATTGCTTCTATGTTCCATGTGAAGAAGTTATCATTGTCAGCATAATATTAATAATGTGTAAGTGATAACATACATTGACTTAAACTGCATCTGACCTAGCAGAAAGACACTTATTTATTTAAGTCTTCCAACTTTAGTGTACTGTTACTGAATTCCCCAGGTATCCTGTGGCTTTCAGATTTTCTGTCTGTACTCTACTCTGGAGGAATGACATTAGTTACTGAGCTGCTTTTTATTGCCTCCACCATTTTAACAAACAACATAGATCATTCTAGCTAGTTTAAAAATAAAAAATAAAATAAAACAACTTAGGCCTACTCTACGGAATGCATAAGCATGCAGTGATTAAATTAAAACAAACCCTCTAATTCCATAAAGTGGTCTTGACTGGTATTAGTTGAAATAATGAAAGGAGATTTCATTTAACTCGAGGCAATGCATGGTATTATGTTGTCTGGTGAGGCAGATTAGATCAGGTTTTTACTTAAACCTCATCCCTACAGACCTGAACAAGGGAACAAATTGGACTCTCATCAACTACAATATTTGATAATGTGGCTTTGTCTGAGAGTATTGATTATTGCCGTCTTATTAATCTCATGAGATATTTTTTCCACAAAACCTATGAGATCTTTTTGTAATCTGGCAAAAACAGATCTAGTGTTACCAATTAGGGAAATTAAGAGTCAGCAATCTATCACACTTACACAAAATGTAGTCTGTTTCTAGTCAAGAGAATTAAGACTGCAGGATATATTCCAAAAACAACCACCACTAATTTGAGTCTGAACTAGAATAAGACCCTCCTATTCATACAGCAGAAAAAGAAAAAAGATATTAACATGACAGACAGGGTACCTTGTATAGAAGACGGGCATCTTCTCCTACAGGCTCAATCTGCTCATAAATGGTACTGGGTCATCTTGCAACACCTTTAAGACCAAATCTGACATAAATCTCCTTAATTCTGTGTGTGTGATATTGCGTGCACTGTCAGATTAGAGCCAATTTAGTAGCAATACAGATTTCTCAGGCAAGCACCTGCTGTGCATTATCACCAGTGCCCTGAGGTTCAGAGGTTAATTATTAGAGACAATATATGTGAAAAAAATTGGACTTTTGATTTGAATTAAAAAACCGTGTCCAAGAAACTCTCCGAATCTCAGGGTCAGTCACCAAGATATTTCAGAGGAAACAGCAGAACAGGAAATGTCACCTCATTTGTCAGTGATCTCATCAGTTCCCTGCTCAGAAGGTCTCCAGGGGACATCTCCGCAGGTAGGGCAAGTCAAGCTCAAGATGAATAAAATCAGTTGAGGTGTATTCAGAAGAAGCTTTCACCTTAATTGTTGCATTCAGTATCGGGTGTTGTCAATTCCTACAGTACATGCAGTGAATACTGCAATTACTTTTAATGCCTTATGCTGTATTCTTCGATCAACGCTCAATAATCACCTTAGCACATGGCCTACCAGCTGACATCATCTTCACATCTTCAGTTAGGGCTCTGTATGTATGTGTGTGTGTGTGGGGGGGGGGGGGGGGTCATCCCACACTAAAAAGTAACGTTAGAGACACAAATTTTGTGTATCTTTTAAATTACATAACTGTTTTACATCACTTCTTTAAAATAAGACCAGATTCTTTTCAAACTGAGGGTACTAAAGTGCAAAATAGTGAAAAAATATTGAAGCAAGTCAGAATGTGTGCTTGCTGACATGATTCAGAGAGTCATTTTCATGGCTGCAATGACCCTCAGTACTTTGTACTTTTATATCTTCCCAACCTGCCTGTCTTTATGCGTTATTGCAATCCAAGTATCTACACATTATACAAAAGTACATGCTCAATTGAGATCCAAACCTATTTTTAATATCTATTTGAGCACATTGTCACTGTTGATATTTCCCCTCGCCTCTATGAGTATCTTCAGCGCCCAATTAGTCCATGTAGAGACTGATAGTGGGTAATTACTCATGATGCCGATCAATACATTGAATATTGGCTAAAGATTTATAGAGGTTGTCTTCTGGGTCCTCCGGAAGACAGGCAGAATCTTTCAATTTAAAATTGATGGGCACCTAATTTTTTTCTGTCGGAAGATGGTCAAAAATGGAGGATGGATCAACAAAGACAATTTAGAAGACTGTCAGAAAAATATCTCTGGATCCTGTTACAAGTGCAGAGTTTCCACACACAATCTGATGCTGGCAGCATGCTAGTTGGTTTAAAACACAACACTCTGCAGCTACTGGTACTTGTAACAAATAAATTCAACAGTGATTGCCAAGGTCTACAGCATTGTGGGGTTTCTCTGTACTCCATACTCAGCACAGAGATATCCCACAATGCCTCTCAAACACTAATACATCATATTCTTGATTTATTGGGTTGGAATACCTGAAAGGCTCTGCAAAAATGTCATCTTTAACAAGGCATTCTTTATGAAACAAATGAACCTTTACATGTAGCTTTTCAATCTCAATTCCACCTTATATAAAGAGGAACGAACAGCATACTAGTATATTACTAGTAGTCATACTCTGTATCTCTGTCTGCATTTCTTATTCACATCAAAGAACACAAGAGACAACAATTAATTTAACATCAGTGACATCTTCATTTTATATTTTAACTAATATGCATCTTTATTTACATCTATAGAACATCAATCACCAAAGACATGTTCATTTTATACTAACTTATATGCTAAATTGGCAAGCTTTGTACTGTGCTGATATTTCATTTATTTCTGAATCACTTGAAAATCGGGATAACATGTCCTTAAAGCCCACGACATGATTAGAAAGTTTTGACCTAAAATAGTTCTCATCACAGGAGGGGGTTATAGCAGAGCAACAACCCCATTAGCAAACTAAATACTCTCTTAAGTGCGCATCAACATGTTTTAATTAGAGCATTCAATTATCCAAGGGAAACATTGACGGGTTATCTCTTCTTCTGCCTATAAAAAATCCATTAGATAAACATGCTGGCTCTACCCATTAAGGGCTTATTTACCAATTTGGTACATACACAATATGTAGATATAGTGCCTTACCAGTTTTCTTTGACTTTGGTTTTGACCTTGAACTCGTCCTTGACCTTTGACACACTGGCTGTACCACCAGATGCACTATGGGAGCAGATGTTGCCAAGGTAATGACCTCCATGTGAGTCATGTCAAACACAGGATACCCATTTAACTGTAACAGTGGAAATAATGCACTGTTGACTATTTCATATACTGTAATTATTTATGTATAAAGTATAACGATTTTCAGAATAAATCTGTAGGTGAATTACATGAATAATTTATAAGAAATGACTTTTGTCAACCAAAAAGCCATATGGCATATACCTGCTGGTACCATTAATTAATTATAATACAGGTACTAGTATCTGTTTTTGTCAAAAAATAAAATTTTCACCACATCATTAATAAATAATGACATGTACTTCATCGTTTTCTACAACAGTCCACCATTTATTATTTATCAGATGTTGGTGAAAATGTTATAATCTTGTGAGGTTTACCACTCATTGCAAAAATGACATACAGCAACAGTTATGAAAGATATGCTTGAATTTTACTTAATTTTAGGTCAATTAACTTCTAAATGATAGGGTTACCTTCAGGATCCTGTCCCCCTTCCTGAGCCCCGCCCTCATGGCTGGTGACAGGGGGTCCACATTGGAAATGATCACCTCCCTGCCTTGGTCTATCCCCCTGGAAAGTGAAGATATTCACTTGTGAAGTGAAAATGCTATCTCAGTTGTGTAATTTTTGGTGTTAGTGGCTCTGTTGCATTGGGTATTTTTGTGTTAGGTTTTTTTTTAAGAAGAAGAAAATCAATCTCTTCAGACGAGTGCTACATCAGACCATTAGGCCATTACTAAGTAAACATATGTTTTACATGCAAAACGTATTTATAACAAGTTTCTGTATACTAGCATTATATCATTAGTATATCTTTAAGTTTCCCTCCCCTTTCAGATGAAGTTGTGGTTCGAACCCCCACCCCCCTTGCACCCCCCTCCCTACAAGCCTATCCCCTTACCCCCTAATACTGCACCCCAGCCAGCCGTCAGGGTCAGCATGGACCACTAGGGCCTTTTCTTTACAGATCTTGGCAGCCTCTTCAATGCCTGAAATTGAAAAGTAGGAAGTTTCATTACTGTAAGTTGCAGAAAGTCCTGTCATCAAAATATCTTTCAAAATTTGTGCCAATATCTTCAGTTTTCCAGGTGCATTCACTTACAAAATTGTGAAAAGATGCAAATTAAAGATAACTTCAATTAACGCCAGTCAGAAAAGAACTTCCATGTGCTACATATATATATAAGCATAATACAATTAAGGTACCAAAGAGAAATTAATTAATATCATTTATCTCAACTACAAATCCTTAAAAATGACTACCACCGAAGCTTGCATGAAAGACAACACACATGTACTAATAATACAAAATACTATCTAATATCTGTAATAACTGCTATCACACGTAATATCTGTCCAACTGTTTATAAAAAACTCACTTGGCATTTTATGACAATCCTGTGAAGTCACATATATCTTAACAACATCAGAATGCTTGATGAAAAACACCGCCTCATCGTGCGAGATCTTACGGAAGCTTGTTTCATTCACCTTCACAATGCGGTCTCCAACAAGTAAACCCTGAGGTAGAAAATTTTTGTTAAAATATGTCAATCATAGTACTAGTACAGTTGTTTTCTTAGAGTAACAGTCTGAGTTTCATTAAATAATTTTACTCAAATCAAGAATAACATATGCTGTTACTGTTTTTAAAAAGAAATCCATCCTGAATCTTTTTGCTTTTTTAATGTTATTTTTTATTAATTTTTGTTTTCCTTTTTTAATTTCATTGTTCATTTTTTCATTTACTCTTTCTGGTTCATTTGTTTGTTTATTTATTTGTTTTCTATTCTAATAAAAACCAATCACTTATATTTCAGTTATCCTTATCAATAACATTGGTAATTTAATTTTCTTATATACTGGGTATATGCAGTACTAATAACATGTGTCATTATTATTCAGTTATAATCTTCAGAGCAGATATGAAGCTTTGACAATTATAACTGAACCATAATGACAAATTCAGTAATCTGCTTATAACTATATTAAACTGCAGTTAAAGGTCAAAATCTGAATTTTCAAATGCCCAAAAACATTAATATCACAGTCATTAACATTTTTAACATTATCAACATATGCATTTTTTGCCAGCCTACACTGCTCTGGTGCTGGGTAATTATGAATCACGTTTGTCTCCATGGTCGTTTAAACAGCTGTGACAGAGGGTAATAATCTTAATGTTCATCTCTATAGAGGAATAATGTCATATAAGAAACCTGCAGCAATCACTACCACATCCCCAGCTGCTGTCATAGACTAATAGGAGCAGATTATCTTCAGCAGAAATTAATTAGCAAAAGCAACTGTTGCCAGCGTTTATATGGATGGATTGCGGAAAATGTCTTTTGCCACTCAGATATTAGCAAGATCTCCGTTGACTTGGATATTAGCAAAACACACTGCTTGTCTTTGCAAGCATGATTACTTTCAGAATAATATAAAGGGCAGAGTTGGTGTTTCAGGATATATGGGAACTAGAGTTTAGCTTATTGCTTTCATTTATTGTACAGTAAGAATGTTTGTAATTTCAACCAATTACTGAATGAAATATAATTTAATAAAAGAAAATGAAAATATTTGATTATTCTGTGACCAAATGGTGAATATGATAATCAATTTCAAATGGAAACAAGAACAACATCCATTCTTATCTATAATAATTAACATGTAAAATTTGGAGACATTCTTTTGTATAAAATATAATTAAAAATAAAAAATACATAAAATAATAAAAAACCACTTCTAGATATTAATAATCAAGCAATATGGTTGCCCTTGTAAAATTATTTTACATTCTTGAAAATTGACCTTGGTTTGTATCACATTATATATTATATGCTTTTGTGAGCACCGTAAAAATGTAAATCTTGGAGAAATAAAATATATTGGTACTAACAGGTGAAATAACAATGTATTCTGTGAGAAGTCAGTAAATACCATTAACGGGAAGGGCATGCAGTACTGTAGGTACCAGTAATCTTACAACATGGGAGATCTATGAGATATATGGCTATTGTGAAGACAATAGGAAGTATGCAGTTGTAATAGTAGTCAAGAAGTGGAGTGCCCTTTACCTCACATTACATAACAATACAGGTGCCTGTGTGGACTGATATACCAGTAGCAGGGAGTATGTGTGTTTTATGACACTATACAGGTATATAGATGCCTCTAGCAATCAGTATCTGAGTACTGAGAATCCAGCAAGTAAGCCACAGCTGTGACAAGATTGTTGAGTAATTATTGAACACAATTAGTCACAGATTTTAAATCTTTGATCACTATCTTATTAGTGAAAAAATCCATATCAAACCTTGATTCCAACTTTTTTTAGTATTACAAGGGTCATTCAGGTATATTTATACATCAACTTTAAATTGAAAAAAAACCTCAATTACTAGTTAAGTCTTTTGAAATATCTTTGGTGAATGTTAAAAATATTATTTAATTCACACATTTACTAGTAACATTATCAAATGCCTATTTATAATATACAGTTAGCTTAAACTGATGAAACAGAGATAAATTAAAGGAGAGAAAAAAGTCAGGCACGTCTTGATCAACCGAACGTCAATGTTCACAGTTTTATACACTGGTACCTACCTTGGTCTCAGCTTGTCCTCCTGCGTCCACCTCTGAGATAAAGATTCCAGCGCCCATCTCGCACCCTCCACGTATACAGAACCCCAGACTCTGTCCTGGGTACCGGTGTAGCACCACTTTACGAATGTCACCACGTGCATGTGCGTGTGTGTTTGACACCGCCTGTTGTATCACTGCACCTTTCCCTGCGGCACTTCTCTGTCTTTCATTAAAACCAAGGTTTGGATTTGTTCTTTGAGAACCTGGTAACGTCCTTGCAGCTAAGGTATTTGTATTGCTGACCTGCACCCCTTCCTCACCATGATGGTGTGCCGACCTGACGGTGGAATTAGACTGTCTGGTCAGCCCAGGCGCAGAGCGATCAGAAAGATCATTCTGTCCCTCCACTCTCTCAACCACAATGTCATTGACCAGTCCAGGACCCAACACTCTCATGTCGACCTCGTCCGAAGCACCTGCTGCTGCTGCTCTCTGCTCCTCTAACCTGTGAGATGCATTACTATTATCTCTGTCAGCTGGGGGAATCTCCACTTTCACTCTCTCCTCTCCCACATTGGTCAGATTTCTTCTAATTACCTCACTACTCGTCTCATTGGCTTGTGCTTCATTCATTTGTGAATCTGTGCTCTCATTGGCCACTCGGAGCTCATTGTTTAAATATGTGTGATCTACATCTCCTGTGCCATGTTTACTGTTGTTTGTGTGTTGGAATTGTTTACCGGAAATGTTCTCTCTTTTTTCAGTTGTATTGGAGTTTTGATGACCAAAATGTCCCTTTTGTTGTTGTTTTTGTAAACTGGCATCTTTGTCATTTAATGCCATGATGTCTAATCTAATATCTCTCATCATGCCATATGATGCAGTGTTATTGTTGTGCAGCTGGTCTTTATTATCTGATCCTTTCTCTGCATTGTGCTCATGTTTCTCAACCATGGCATTTCTTGTTGTATACGCCTCCCTCCTTAACACATTGTGCTTGTCTATCTCACCTAACGCATTTCTGCCCTCTCCAACCTCCTCAATGATTAAAGTCTTTCCTTCCTCACTGGACAAAATCTTCATCGAGCCAGTCTCGTTCTGAGCTATGGTCATCGATGTTGGACTTGTGCTACGTACCTCCTCCGGCATCATAACGGAGAGCACGTGCTTATAGTACGGGAACTCCAAACAGCAGAGGTGATAGTAGTCGTCCTGTAGTGACAGAGGCATCATATACGTCAGCTCCACTAGGATCAGAGTGCGCTGAGGGTCGGTGATTATCTTTTTCATGGCAGCGCAGAGCGAGGGAACAGATTTGGTCTGCTGAAAGTACTGGATGGCGTCCTTGAGGACCTGTCTCTCTCGGCTGCTGAGGAGCTCGTGGGCCAGGTCGCGCACCACGCGCCCGTTTCTTCTGTTCATACTGGCAGTGGAGTGGAAGCCTTGAAATAATAATTTAATCTAATATATAAAATAAAATAATAATTTAATTTAATGTATTCTCGCTATTTCAATCAATCTTTTATGAGATACTTTTTATAAATCCACTCTTACGAGATAAGAACATTTTTGAATTTTAATAGTACTAGTACAGTACATGAAATCAGCAATTATAATAAGTTGGAACTTAACCTTACTAATATGAATTTTGCATCATGCTAGAAGTCATAAAGAATTTCAAAGTTACAATGATCTATCTCTATGCTGGAAATGGCACCAAGTCACTTTGAGGGTGTATCCTAAACTGGGAATGCCTTTTTTTTTTTTTTTTTTTTTTTGTAACAGGTCCCTACTCATGGCACAAGTGTAATGTATATATTTAGCTTAGGTAATAGTTTTTTCTCTGCAAGCTAATATAGTACATGTACCAAGTTAAAAGTGTAGAGTGGACACGCCCATCCAGTCATGGATGTGCTGGTACCAGTAAATGCTCTATATTTTATTGATTTCTCCTGCCTCTGAAGGGTCAGCCATTGATGTGGTTTCCTGAAATCAATACAGATCTTATCCTGTTCAAAACAAACTGTTATTTTATAAATATTTTACACCCTTTGTGTGGGAGCATCACTGGGATGAATTCAAGGTAGTTTCAATTAATGTTCACACATGGGAATTCTCTGATATCATGTTACTTTATTTCCTCTTATTATCAGAAATATTTAGTTAGCTGTGCTTTCGTGTTGTAAATTTAGCATACACAGAACAATTATAATAAGGGAGGGAAAGAAGGTGAAAGATAGATATACATTAAAATCATTACTAGTAATCTATTAATGCAACTGTTTATAGTCATAGCCTTTATAAACTGTACTTGGAACCAATAAAGATTATTGTTATTATATGATAACCATGCAGAATCAAATCGAGTTGTTCACTGGCTGTTAAAAGAAAGTACTGTAACTCCAACCAAGTAGTTTACCAACAGGTTTCATCTCAACTTCTCAACTCCTACTTCCGTGTCAAAATGTAGTAACTTTGCAAAAAAAAAAAAAAAAAAAAAAAAATGCAAGGATGTAGCCTACTTTAAAAGCAGTTTAAACTGCAGGCCTTTGCACAGCGATAAAAAGCTTTAGCTCTTTAAAATGAATTGTAGTGGATCTTCACCACTTATACCGCTAGTATGATGGGTCGACCGTGATATATTTTCTTATCTACATACAATCACTTGCCTAGTCTAGCAGTATCGTAGTTTTGTACTATACAGGATTCGCAGTACTACTAGTAGCAGTATAATTAAATCCCCAATTACGATTAGACCCTCCAATTAGGCACTGCATTGAGTAAACAATGACGCCTCACATGTTATTCACAAAATGCTCTAAATAATCAGTTTAAACATGAGATCAACTTCACCAGAAAACACGACATATTTAGGTCTATGTTCTTCAAATGTGAGATAATTAACTTACCTGTCAACTTTCAAGTTTCCAACGACTCAATATCCGGGCACTTCTCCTAACTGGGTCAGGCCTCTGTTGATTTGTCAATTTCCTGCATTTTAATCGATCAGCATTTAATTCGTTCTTGGTTGTTTATTTTTTTTTTAGTGCTCCTTAACATGTCAAATACATTCTGTTATTTACTTTAAATGCAACGTACTAGTTGCTCGCCTCCGTTTTTTCCTAACATGCCTAATAACAGAAAAAAGGGAAAAAAGATTATTGCATCGGCCGGGAATCGAACCCGGGCCGCCCGCGTGGCAGGCGAGCATTCTACCACTGAACCACCGATGCTTACGTTGATGCTTACTCAATTATAGCATTATATTACAGCTCCTCATACAAGATAGATAAAAAAATAGGATTTCTGAAATTAGACTTATTCTAAATGTTTAATGTTAAATGGAATTACTACATTCATTTGTACCTACAGATCTAACGTTGATATCAGCGATTACTTCAACTCACCGGAAGAAAAGACCTTGTGATATAACGTCGAAACGCTGTGATATTCATTTCAAAGTGAGATCCAAGATTAGACTTATTTTTCTCTTTTTTGTAGTATAATAATTGTAAATATAAATATAATAAAAATAAAAATAAGACACTATTACTTATGAAATAGACTGATCAATTCACCTGACTATTCATTTTTAAATAGAATTTTGTTGCCTACCTTTATCTATAAATATTCTCTTTTCAATACCTGAATTATGTACAAGCTTTTCATATTTCATAAACTTCAAATTTCACTCTTAGATTGACGTCATTCCGACTGTAAGATTTAGTTTTTGGATACCCTGCTGTAATTACAGCGGGGAACGTATAATCATTGTAGGGGGTCCATGTCCACTTGTCCATGTATTCACAGCAGGGAATATATAATCATTATAGGGGTCCATGTTTACTTGTCCTATTATTAACTTCAAAGAAAACCAAAAGTACAGTCTGCAACTTATGGGGCGAACGTAATGTATCAGACTGCGATGACACGGACTGATAGACCGATCAGAATATATACAGACAATTACTTGTACAGTCTCTGTTCAAAAAATATTTCATATGTATGGCCTGTTTTTTTTTTTTTTTTTTTTTTTTTTTTTTTTTTTTTTTTTTTTATTGTTCAACCCGTAGAATAATCAATTATTTGCAGGCATAAAGCTTTCTAGGGGCGGAGACAGGATTATATAAAGGGGGGGGGGCGTTATTTATTTATTTATTTATTTATTTATTTATTTATTATTTATGAATGACAGTCCTCGGGTGCAAAGGTTTCGGTTTTTTAGGACGAACGGTGCCATTTGATTCGGTTTAGAACTTTGATTCAGCTGGTCAAAATTCAAATTTCAAGAGAGGAGCATTGATGTGATTTTTTCAGAAACTGAGAAGGGGGGGGGGGTTAGGCCCCCATAGCTGACACTCCCCTAAATCCGCCACTGCTTTCTATTCCAAATAATTATCCCACGATAATGCTACTGAGTAAAAAATTATCAGGTTGATGAGAACATGCGGCTCCCCTCGATAATTATGCTTAATTAAAAATCAAACAACTGTTAAAAATTATTTTAAAAAATAAACTGAAAAAAAAAAATTCTGTGACTGTCACTGACTCACAAAAAAACTGGTTGCAAAATGTGTTGTGATTGCAAAATGCTAATGTCCTCTTGATAGGTCACAGATGGCCTAAGTGAGAAATTATAAAATTTTGGTTAATCAAAATAAATAATAATCATTTATAAAACAGATTGATTAATAAACCTGACCGTTAATTCAAAATATAAATTTTGTTGCCTTCCATAATCTCTAAATATTCTCTTTTAAATACCTGAATTGGGGGTGGAGGTGGGGTGGGGGTGGGGTGGGGGTGGGGTGGGTGGGGGTTGGGGGGGGGGCATTGTGAGACACATGGCTGTTGGCATAATATCTTGTTATTGAAATGTAGAAAGAGTTACAGGTATGAACTTTTTAAGGAAAATATGACAGGAATGTTGAGGCAGAGGGGAAAGGTAGAAGCTGGCTAAGGAGTGAGAATGTAGGGAATGAGAGTTGAAGAGAGATGGTGGATGGTTCAGTTGTTGTTGTTTTATAAAGCTGGAAAATTTGTATCAGAGACAATGATCCATGATTTTAAAGACTTTAGCATTTATTTCAATATAGTCCAGTGGCTTAAGGCAAAAAAAAATGGCTGAATCGTGACACGGCGGATAAAAGCACCAAATTTTGCATGTGGTTACTTTTTGATATACTAAATCAAATTAGAGCCGTAGCCCACGGAAAAAAATTACCGTTTGGCCAAAAAATCCAAAATGGCCGCCAATTTGTGAAATTCCGTAGAAATATATACATATTTATGTTGATTTTTATCAAATAAAGTATTTTCTCAATGTTTTCCACATCCTTATTACCCATATTATGCATATATGTCATAGAACAAATGAGTGTCCTTGGACTTTTTGAAAAATCCAAGATGGCCACCGTATGGCATAGGAATACTAGAACATGTACAAGGGTTTTCAACTAATGCCAACTAGGAAGATGCATTGCCCGCTATCTAATTAATTTTGTTTGAGTAACTAACCTAGCTTTGTGGTGAGTAACCAACCTTTATTCTCAGGCATTTCGAGAAAAATCCAAGATGGCCACCATATCAAAGGAACACTACAGTATACACATAGGGCTTCTTCTGCCATGGAGATATAATATTAATGGATAAATAAGGCTTGTTTCTGATTATTTTCCACATCCTTTTAATCCACATAATGTATATATTTGATGAGAATGTATTATAAATCCTTTTTGAAAACAAAACAAAACAAAACAAAATGGCTGCCATTAGCCATAGAAGGTGGGGTTCAGTTAATACCTGTGAGAGATAGGCTTCCAAACAAAATGGAACTAAATTCAGTTGTTTTTCTTGTATTATTATTATTATTATTATTATTATTATTATTATTATTATTATTATTATTATTATCCCATGATACATATCTGTTAAGTAATTAATGTCCATATTTGATCATTTTCGGGAAATCCAAGATGGCCTTCTTTTCCCCATAGGAAAACTGGTGCATTGGATTTTATAGGCACTTCTAAGGCAAATCAGGGTAATCATGATATTTTGTCAAAATACTTGAGGGTACACACTTGTTACCCACCAGATAGATATCTCAAAGTCCAAAAAGAATGTGGGAAATACCGAGAAACAAAATTCATTTTATATTGAACCCAATGTCTCTTTGCCACTAGTTGACTGTACTATTCCTATTTTGAATTGCAGCAATTAATCTTGAATTTTCTCAAATACGCAAGATGCACCCTTGCTACAAACCAGATTTATATAGAGTAAGGTTAATAAGGATGTCAACATGTTTGAACATCAAACGGCTTTATTTCATGTTGGAATCAATGCCTGAACTGTTCCATTAATTGACACCCATGTGCATTTGAATGATATATTCCTATGACAACTGGCAGTTATCTTGGGTTTTCTCTGAATAGTACTCAAGGATACATACACTCTCTACACACACACAGAGTCTTTCATAAGGATAAATAGGATATAAAAACGATCTAAAGTTAACTACATTTGAATTGTACTCAGTGTATCTCTGGCATTATTTGATTATGTGTATGAATATTCTAATGACAAAAGGCAGACATCTTGAATTTTTTTCAGAATACCCAAAGATACACACATGCTACAGACGAGGTATACATCATGGGGGTAATAATAAATGGAATGAAAAATGTAAATTATTTTTAAAACAAACCCATGGTAATGTAATTGTATAAAGAACCACATGCCTCCCCAGCTAGAAAAGTAGTCCCCTTTGCAGTCTGCTTGCAGTCTCCTTTACAGTCCCCCCATGGAGCCTGCTTTGCAGTCTCCCTAGCAGTCCCCGCTCCCATAGCAGCCTCCTTTGCAGGTATCCTTAAGTATGGAGGGAGTCCCCTTGGCAGTCTTAATTTGCATTTTTGGAACGCGCTGCCAGGGGGACTGCCTGGGCAGTCCCCCTAGCAGTCTGCTTTGGCAGCCCCCCTAGCAGTCTGCTTGGCAGCC